AAATCGCATCAGCTCCAATACTCCGGTACTTCGACAAGAATGCTGAGACAACTATTCAAACAGATGCGTCGCAGAAGGGACTAGGCGCAGTCCTCCTACAAAATGGCCAACCAGTATGCTACGCATCGAAAGCACTCACAGATACAGAATCAAACTACAGTAACATTGAGAGAGAGACACTAGGCGTGGTATGGGGCCTAGAAAGATTTCATTATTTTATATATGGGAAACACTGCAAGATAGAAACTGACCACAAACCTCTTGAGTCAATCTTCAAAAAGAAACTCGCTAGCTGCCCCCCGAGGCTACAACGATTGGTGCTCCGCGCATTGAAGTATGACGTCACAGTTACATACGTTAAAGGAGCTAATGTCCCCATTGCAGATGCCCTCTCGAGAATCACTCCACAAACAGGGCCAACCATTGGAGAACTACCAAGAATAGATGTCCACTGCATCACAAAGACCCTACCTGCCTCGCCTACAAAACTTAAACAGATCAGAGAAGAGACAGCAAGGGATTCTACCATGTCGCTTCTCAGAGAAACCATGTTTAGAGGATGGCCTGATCAGAGAGGTAATTGTCCAGCAGCTCTACTAGACTATTGGAATTTTCGAGAAGAGCTTACTATCGAAGATGGTATCCTCCTTAAGCAAGACCGAATCATCGTCCCACCCAAGCTACGTGCTGACATCTTACGCGCCCTCCACCAAGGCCACCTAGGCATCGAAAAGTGTCTTCTCAGAGCACGATCATGTGTATTCTGGCCTGGAATAACGAAAGACATAACGCAAATAGTTGAACAATGTGAACCATGTCAGAGATATCAAAAAAAGAACCAAAGAGAACCAATCTTGCAAGCTGATACACCCAGCCGACCATGGGAAACACTCAGTTCTGACATGTTTGAGTACGAAGGTAAGCACTACCTACTAGTGGCTGACCAATACAGCAAGTTCCCAGTCATACGTTACCTCACAGGTACTACCTCAGCAGCCGTCATCAGCCACCTGAAGAGTATATTCGCAGAGCATGGTATTCCATCACTCCTTATAACTGACAACGGACCGCAGTACAACTGCAGAGAATTCAGTTCGTTTACAGCAACATATGGTATAGATCATGTGACAAGCTCACCTTTGTACCCACAGTCAAACGGTTTTGCGGAGAGAATGGTGCAAACCATAAAAAACATCCTGAAGAAGTGTGACGAGCGAGGTGAGGACCCATAYTTGGGGATCCTTTCGTACAGGACAACACCAGTCAACAATAACCTCAAGTCACCAGCAGAACTTCTTAACAGTCGAAAGTTCAAGACCACTTTACCAGCTGCACAAAGAGCATTCCAGACTGGAAATGATAGGGACCAGATCAGAGAGAGTCTACTTGACCGACAAGAACAGCAGAGTAAATACTATAACCGTACCACTGGAAGAGTACAACAACCCTTATATGGTGGGCAACCAGTGMGCATGTATGATCACAGATGGAAGACATGGGAGCCAGCAGTAGTACAGCAACAAGCTAGAGAACCAAGGTCGKACCTTGTGAAAAGGCATGATAATGAAACTGTATATCGCAGAACAAGGTCTGACTTGCGACCGGATACAGCAGTACAAAAGCAAGATACACCACCAAAGCCAMCAGCAGATGACCAAGTACCACAAAGTACTAGTGGCATGGACACGCCCTCAAACTACACAACTAGATATGGACGGGTTGTCAAACCAACAACAAAGTTTGACTTGTAGTTCGTTGAGAGGAGGATGTAACATTATATGA